GGATGTTTCGTCCAGACGTTTCACCCAGATCGTTTAGAATGGGTTTAGAAAAACACTCAGACTACAACTTTTCGCCGCACTCGAGACTGCGGCCAATTTCACCCGACATGCGCAGAGAAGCCTATTTATGCCTACGCAACTTATAACCTATAAGAATCATATGATGATATGATTTGAGGTTATTATTATGTCTCACGCCATTTTAGCACCGAGACACTTCCGTATTTAACCATGATAAATAGAATAATATAAATTATAAGGAATAGTTTGAACTTTAATATAAAGATAATAATATAAAGAATAATTTGATAGATAATAATATAAATATTTGATAGATAATAATATATTTTATAGATGATATAAAAGAATAGTTTGAACTTGGTAAGTGATTATATACATTTTTTATTTACATTATTTATTCTATATAACAATATATTAATGTAAAAAAGCAAGTAATAAATACATGCATAAATTTTATTAAGAGAGAATTATTCAAAATAAAAGCAACATAATTCTATTAATTTATTTAATATTATTAATTTTTAGTTGAAAAGTACAATGGAAAATTGTACAATAGGTGCTATTACATTATATAAAACGTTCTTCTTGAGTGATATCGAGTCTGATGACGATTCCGAAGAAGAGGAGCTAATAGAATTATATGCTGAGAAATTGCCAAATTCCCCCAAAAAAAATTCCATCTCGAATAAAATATTTTATTGAGCATACCGTATTAAACTGTACGGCAAAGGAATTTCAATCACATTTCAGAATAACAATTTCAGTCCTTTTTCTTTTTAGAGACTTCTACGATTTGGATAGATTATCTTTTACATTTGAGACGATATTGAAGAAATTATCGAATCAAATAAAAAGTCTAATTCAACAGATAATTGTAACGGAGGGTTAAGACCGCCGCCTAGTTGTTAAAGCAAAGTTACTCAGAATCATGACCTTGACAACATATGTCAAGGTCAAGGTCATCGGTGAGGTGTCCCCTAATCTAAATAATTACCTAAATTGATTTCGAGACACATAGATTAATTGAAAAAATTATGTTAAAAGCACTCAAAATAATATTCCATTTTTAATTGACATACGGAATTGTTAAGTTAGAAAGGTGACATAAAAATATAAATCAAAATGTTACAAAAATAATAACATATTAGTTGTATGTTAATTTTATATTGAAGTAATAATCAAAATGTGGTAACACAAGAAAACTTTAACATATGGACGCATGATTTTTTACTGTGCATTGTTGCAACATGTGGAGTATTTTGCATTCCAGGAGTCTTTCGACGCGTTAAGAAACTCCAGATTTCATTATTATTATGTACATACTGTGAGGCGTGTGCTTCCGGGGTGCCTTTGTATTGCTGCATAACTTTTAATTCTAGTGTATTTCTTGCAGTACCACGACGACCGCAAATTTTCATCCACAATTGTTACACTAGGCGTCTTGCGAATGTATATTAGCATCGTCATTTCCAGCTGACCGAGTTGCCACGAGCGCTGTCACGCTCAGAAGCGCTTATCGCCTCGTTAATGTCATTTATAATTGTTTCACCTCAAGCGATTAAAATCAACAGTTACTTTGTAATTAAAGTGCATTAAATGAGAGCACTTTTTTCGATTCACACGATTCACAATAACTGTCACAATTTATTTTTCTTACCTTCATTGGTTACTTATCGTGTAACGTGTAACCAATAAAGCAAACATATAAAGGCAAGAAAAACAAATTGTGACGGTTATTGATAATATGAAGCAAATATGAGTTAGCTTTATTCAATGCAAAATTACATTTTTGATTATTTGCCTTAAAACATTTTTCCATAATTTAATCGCAGATTCAGCTCGCGGCGATACTGATTACTTGAATTATATTATCGGTTTTCTATGTGAAATACTGCAGTATTAATCAACTATCCGATTTTTAACGATGGAAATTACAGCCAAGAAAGGACACGATCACAGTATATACAGTAACGCAACTCTCTGTGGCACCTTTGATGTTAGTATAGCCCAAAATGGAGTGCACATGCGCAAAATAAGCAAGTTGCCCCAGTAATGCCATCTGAGCCGGTTTTTCACTTGCTCTTTACTTTCCATCTTTCCATTTTTTTCTGTAGCTACTCTAGCTCATTTGTATGTACATCAAATTAACCCAAAGGTAACAAAAATTTAAAAAAATAGATTCATAATTATAATGCATTGTAAAATAAAACGATAAGAAAATATAAATTCAAATAAATATTGTGTAAGATAAATAATATACTGTAAAAATACTTTAATTAAAGGCTACGACATATACAATGCGTGTTTTCCTTTTAGATTGCATGCGTTTTTGTAAATTACTAAAATTGCATTACACAAAACGTAGATTTTCTAACTAAACCATAAGCAATCCAACAAGTAAACAAACATCATATATCACAGGCTTAAGATATTAATATAAACAACAAAAAGTAAAATTTAACGTTATATGGATTGCATTTTAAAAAATAATTACTGCAATCATTGCAATTATAAAAAATATTTAATAATAACTTTTTTTAATTAAATAAGATAATAATTGGTTCCAATTAGGAGATCAAGCTCCAATAACCTTGACTTTGACACATGTTGTCAAAGTCATAATATAAATAATTTATAATTAACCTTCCTGCAATTTATTCTATCAACAGAATATTTATATTAATAAGACGTGTTTATAGTGAGTAGAAATCGGGACATTCACCTTAACTGCTGATACCTCCTGAAACGTCTGTAAATATTCCGCGCATTACTATATAGTTAATGAAAAGTGCTTTGTTCTTAATCAACTAACTTTATTAGGGTTACAAAGGTTAAAGAATCGCGATACGTCCTACAGGACAGTCACAATATGACTGACTGCCGCTAAGAAAAGTGCAAAAGGCGTGCGCATCAATCATTTTATCGTCACGCTGCACAGTAGCAATCGAAGATAGTTTGAACATCAAAAATCGCTGCCACGTTAATTCTAAACCGATTGTAACGAATTTTTTTTAAAATTCGCAGAAAGGATCGTACTTTTTAAATCCACTGCTAAAAATTGAAGTTTCATAAATAGAAGTACGGTAGGAGGCGCGGCAGTGACGCAAAGAATGTTGAGAACTAGACATTGTTATTAAATTGGTTTATACTAGGAAGAAAGTACTTTTTTCCTAAACCAGCACTTATTTTTTTACAGGTTATCAATTTCGTCAATGTGGTGAAGAATTTCGAGTATGAAAACTTAGGCTTGACGCTCTATAAACCTTAAAATCGTATGCAGAAAAGTTCTGCGCTGTGTTTCATAGAATACTGCAAGTACTCAGTATGGAATGACTTGAGAATTATATATATCTATATATATGTAAGGTAGGATATACCTTATGTGGAGACATCCCCACTCCAGATAAACACGCGCTAGCCGTGGACACGGCGTCGTCCCGTGAGGGGATGGATTCGTGGCACGCCGCGAGTGAGCGGTACGAGTAATATTGATATGTGCCCGTAACGATTGTTCTCACTTGATCGAGTACGGTTAATCCGCGTTTCATAGTGCAAATTTCTTCGTAATTAAAAACCATTCATTTTGGTGAGATTATTCCGGGGGTCATTGGAACCCTGAGACGAGCCCTTACCTGTTGAATAACGACATCTTTTTCTTCGGCTTCTCCAGGTAAGGACGCGATCACGTGTTCATTATAGTATTAGAATTATTAATGTTTAATTGTTAATTTGGACATATTTATATCTTCTCATAAAATAAAACTCCAGATCTTTTGGAAGAAACACCGAAGTTGCACGTTATTCTACAGCGATTGAATAAAACCCTTACATATATATATATATATGTGTGTGTGTATATATATATATATATATATACACACACATATATATAATATATATATAATATATATATATATATATACACAAGTATATCATACTTTATAAATATATAATTGCTAAATGTATAATAACCTATATAAAAAACAGATAAATCGTCGAATTTACAAGTTTTATGAGCGTATTTAGAAATCGTTTAAAATTCATGGAAAAGTAAATGGTTAAAAACGATTTTACACTACGTTTATTATCAGCAGATATTAAATGTTAATGTTTACATCAAATATTTATATCAAAATATTAGGTCTTTTATTCTGATCCCATTTGTGCGCGCACACGTGTGTGTGTGTGTGTGTGTGTGTACTTTCTTCCTAGTATAAACCAATTTAATAACAATGTCCAGTTCTCAACATTCTTTGCGTCACTGCCGCGCCTCCTACCGTACTTCTATTTATGAAACTTCAATTTTTGGCAGTGGATTTAAAAAGTACGATCCTTTCTGCGAATTAAAAAAAAAAAATTCGTTACAATCGGTTTAGAATTGACGTGGCAGCGATTTTTGATGTTCAAACTATCTTCGATTGCTACTGTGCGCTGCAGCGCGGGACAGGTCATGGGAAAACTAAGAAAAATCCCTATCTGGAGAGCGCGCATTTCAAATCAAAATTAACATCTAAACTGAAATTAAAACATAAACGACGATAATACGACCGAAAAATTCTCAGTTTCGCGTAAAGGAGGCACAGCAGTGTCGCGCGCTTGGCTTAGCGCCAAGACACTACCGTGTCTCCAGATCTTCTCACAGTATGTTGCCGGTCGGTTCGCCTTTTTATTTCCGATATGTTGAAGATATTATTTTGGCTGCTCTTTCTGAGTTTGTCAATGATATTGTAGCGAAGGTATGCTTGTGTGTATGCGTGTACGTGGTACGGTCGTAGCATCCACCCGCTACTAGTGGATGTACGCTGGTTACCGATCGGCCGTCGCTGTCGGCCTCTATCGGTGCGGCGCAGGGATCGCAAGAGAGAGAGGTTCAAGTCGAGACTCAGTATATGGATTTTATGTACAAGATTTATTCTAGTATATACACGTATATACAGTGGTGTTCGTTAATTTATTATTTCGGTGGCCCTGGCACGGGCCTATTGATCTCTCTCCAGGAGAGGCTCCGCTCGCGAGCGGAGGCTTCGTTCGCGTTCTCTTCTCCGAGTCCCAGTGACTACTGTTGTTCGTCGAAGTGGGAAACGAGGAGAAGGTCGCTTGGTGTTGAGGTTGTTCGGTGCTCGAGGTTGTCGCGGAGGCTGCTCGATGCTCGAGGTTGTCGCGGAGACTGCTCGATGCTCGAGGCTGTCGCGGAGGCTGCTCGATGCTCGAGGCTGTCGCAGAGGCTGCTCGATGCTCGAGGCTGTCGCAGAGGCTGCTCGATGCTCGAGGCTGTCGCGGAGGCTGCTCGATGCTCGAGGCTGTCGCGGAGGCTGTTCGATGCTCGAGGCTGTCGCGGGGGCTGCTCGAGGCTGTCGCGGAGGCTGCTCCATGCTCGAGGCTGCTGCGGAGGCTGCTCCGGGGGCCGCTGCTGCGTAGGCTGCTGCTTCGGTGGCCGCTGCTGCGGAGGCTGCTGCTGAGGCTGCTGGGGCTGCTGCTGCTGTCGAGGCTGCTAGCCTGGTGTAGCTGTGGGCACCGTGTAGCCCGCTGGTTACCTCCTGATGGTTCTGCTGAAAGGTATCGCTCTGCATGCCCGCTGCTCCGTGTCGATACTCGGTCCAGCGCTCTATATGTATAGGCACCGGACCGATTCTTCGCACGAGATATTGATTGTCACGCGAGCCCCCTGGTGGGCGTGATGCGGTACTCGCGCGCCGCGAGGCACTCGCGAGAAAGCGGCCCTCAACGAGCGCTCCCACCGAGCGCTTGGCGAAGGTAGCTGCTCGGTAGGTTGTCGTTCCACAGGGATGGCGCGAGGTATATAGGAGCCACCACAGATATATTAACAATTTTTAATTCCTTGCATACCGGATTACAGTTTACAGTGGAGGTTGGTATAGTAAGGACGGATAGTAAGATTAGTTCCTTAGATACATTATTAATTATTGAATACATCAGAATTATTTTTGACAGATACCGCAAGGCAACCTTTTCTGGGAGATTCCTAAATTTCAATTCACAATATCCTATCTGCCATAAAAGAGGCGTTATTTTTGGATTTAACAAGATAATTCGCTTGTGCCATTCACGTTTCCACATGGCTAATTTTATTAATGCTATCAACATTCTTTTAAATAATGGATATCCATTGCGATTTATCTTCTCGACGATCCATAATAGAATAAAATTTCATATTAAGAAAAATAGCACTATTTAGAATAATACTAATGGAAAGTTTTTTGCGCGGTTCCTTATGTTAATTCTATTTCTGAAAAGTTTGCACCGTTGATGTTTTTAATTGTAAACTAGCCTACACAACTTCTAATACTTTAAAGAAATTAATAAAAAAAGGAAAGGACCAATTAAAATCATCAAATAATCAAAACGTGGTCTATAAGATTTCATGTGAGGATTGTGATATCAGTTATGTTGATCAAATAAAAAGGCAATTTAAAATATGAGTACACGAACACGTTTCCGACATCAATAAGAAAGTGTAATCTCCTTCTGCCATCTCAAACCATCGTATTGAAAAGAATCGTAATTTTGATTGGGAGAACGTAAAAATTTTGGATGTTGAACGATCCTATAATATAAGATTGATTTCGGAAATGGTGCATATTAAGAGACAAACACATTCAATCAATAGACAAAATAATACCGATTCTCTGCTAGAGTCGTATTCCAATATAATACGTCTCTTTCCCCTTTCTAGTCGTTCTACATTCCCCTTCCAGTTTATATCTCACTTTGGGTTTCCTTTTTCCTTGTCACCATTGTGTTGCGGTACTTGATATTATTTTCATCTTAACTTTCATCAAATATTGAATTAAAAAATTGCCAATATGAGCCGACACTAGTTGATCATGTGTGTAAAATAATTATTTTATTATAATCGTAAACGTTTCGATCTCTGTTTGAGATCCTCCTCAATACATAGGAAAATTATATTAATAGATGATGTTATAAAAATAAAAATCGAAGAATCAAATACGCAATAATTAACATTGTCCGGCAGTCTACTATCGTTCATTAAAGTGTTGAATTTACTAAAAAAATTGTGTATCAATAATTATTAACAATACATAAAAATATTAATAATAAAAACATTCTTTCAAAAAACTTTTAAACAGATTTTTCACTCACATGAAGACGAGTTTAAATTAGACTGGCGTCACAAAATACATAATAAGTATGTCTCACACAATTCCATTTCAATGTTCGGCAAACTATTCATTAAAAATACAACAATAGTACAATAATTAATAAAATTATATCTTTAACGACAATAATTATAAAACTATTTAAAAAATTATACAAACTTACATGGATTGTTAAAACACAACGAACATATCGAAAGTGAAAGAACGGAATGAGTCACAAGAAAACAAGAAACATATCGCAAAAGTCAAAAAAATAAATAACAAATATAAGATACAAGAATTGGAAGTGTCATGTGTTAAAAAACAAATTCGTGTACAATGGATTTAAAGATTGCGTGTCATTTTGTAAATTTAATCCATGTTTTTGTCTCCCAATATGTATCATTTCCGAAATCATTCTCCTGTTCCATGTTTTTTCTTTGTCTAAAATGCGTACGGAGTCCCAATCAAAATCGTGAGAAAAATCCAAGCGATGTTGTGTGATAACCGAATTTTGAGAAGTATTCCTATTGATATGGTTTTTATGCTCCTTAATGCGTGTTAATAGGTAGACATCTACTCGTCTGTCCTACATACGATGACTCACAATCCTTACAATTAATTTTGTAGACAACATCTGACTATGAAAAATGTGGTAACAAATCCTTTTGTACTTTAATAATTTTATTGAGTTTATTAATTCCAATGTAAGCCATACGTATCAATGGAGAATTAGTAAGGAATTTTTTTATTTTTTCCGAAATATTAGGGATAAAAGAAATAGTGAAAATTACTATACTATTAATATAATTAATATACTAGGATTACTAAAGATTCATAAACCAGGCTTTCCATTGAGAATTATTGTCTCATCGATAGGAAGTCCTCTCCACAATTTAGCAACCTTTTTACATAATATTATTAATAAAAGTTTAAGGGCACCTGTTAGTTCCATAAAAAATAATTTTTCGTTAACTAATGAAATTTCTAACTTAAAAATTCCTACCAACACTACTTTAATTTCGTTAGATGTTGTACCTTTATTTACTAATGTGCCTATAAATTTGGTTTTAGAAGGGATATCAACACAGAAAACTGTAATTTTCTAGAAAACCGTAAAACTGTAATGTTCTAGAAAACTGTAATTTTAATTGTAATCTGTTTTACTTATATGTAGGTACGTTCATTTTGAATTTGCACCTTGAATAATCTATCATTTACTTTTTGTGGTACATATTCAACATAGAAAATATACATAATGTATGTTTACTTTGAACTGGCACATTTAGTAATATATCAGTTACTTTTCGTGGTAATATATTATATTAGATAATATCATTTAAAATATTAAAGGTTTAAATTATTAGGTTACATTATTAGATAATCATTTTAATTTAGAAAGGTTCAAATTTTTGCGGAGAGCTTTCAAAGGTTTAAATTTGTTGGGTTTTTTAATTTGCGAGGATCTATTTTTGAACATGGCTTGACCTTTTCATTTTAATGATATGTTAGGATTAATAATATATCAGTTACTTTTCGTGGTTAATATATTATTATTAGATTATCGTTTAAAGTTTTAAAGGTTTAAATTTTTGATATATTGTACACGTATATATTCTAATAGTATATATAACTTTTTTAAACATTATTAAAATAAAAATATTTATTATACATTATATATATATACATAAATCAATTATGCATTATTTATATTATATGATATGGTTGGTTTAGAATATCACTTACTTTTCAGAGTAAAATAATATCTCAAATATATATAAAAAAATAACAAAAGAGTGAAATACGGCGAAAGAGTGAGGTAGTAGAGGTGGCTGGTGGAGAGAGGGGGAGGAGATCCGGTGGGTCGAAGGTGGTGGAGGTGTGAGTGAAAGGTAAAACAGGATGTTTATCTTTATTAGATAATATTATGCGCGGTGCGGTGTTGTAAGGGGAATAGCGAAAGCTAGACGTAAACGATTGGAAAATCAACTGAAAGTTGCACTGTCCCCCTCACCGCTCCGCGTGCAGTCGAAGTGCCCCATTAAGGTCGAATGGTATTGTTCTACGCGCGGAGCGGTGAGGTGAGGGGGATAGCGAAAGCGAGGCGGAGGCGCATTAATTAACGCGTCGAGACTTTGGACAACATATTTTGGTAATTATGCACTATAGGGGAGCCAGCTCCGATGACCTTGACCTTGACATATGTTGTCAAGGTCATGATTCTGAGCAACTTTGCCTTAACAACTAGGTGGCGGACTCTTATAGTTTTTGAGATATTAAGCGTTATTTTTAACAGTAGTGAAACCTACTGGGTAAATGTTTCGCTTTACACAGTCAACCTCAAATGACTTCCGAGTGACCTTGACCTTGACCTTGACCCTCAAGAAGGTTAAGGTCATTGACCATTCCCGTCGCTCGTCCTTCGTTAAAAAATTATTAACAATCATAGTTCTAAAATATATGTTTCATTTTTGCTATATACGTATGATATCAAATACTATTCTACACCTTTCCCTGTTCAGAAACGTTAAACTTTCCACGCGATGTTACTTTCACTCCCCCCCCCCCCCACAGGGGCACACGACTTCTACGATTGTACTGTTGCTATGATAGTACTGTCGGGGCAGATCTCTGTGACGGTGTGGGTGCGGGGGGGTGGCCGAAGGCCGCCCCCTTGCACCCGCCCGTGTGTGTGTATGTGTGTGTAAAATATCAAGTAATAGACTCATAATCGTTATATAACGAATGGAACACACACACACACACACACACACGGGCGGGTGCAAGGGGGCGGCCTTCGGCCACCCCCCCCCGCACCCACACTGTCACAGAGGTCTGCCCCGACAGTACTATCATAGCAACAGTACAATCGTAGAAGTCGAGTGCCCCTGTGAAGAGGGGGGGTTAAAGTTACTTCGCATGGAAAGTTCATCGTTTCTACACAGGGGGAGATGTAAAATAGTACTTGTTATAATACATATCATATATGGCAGAAATGATACGTTAATTTCGAAACTTTTTTTGATCATAACTTTTTTAACGGACAGCGACCGCCACCTAAAACATGGGAGGTCACTCAAAGTCATGACCTTGACAACATATGTCAAGGTTAAGATCATCGGAGCTGGGTCCCCTAAAGTGAACATTTGTCTTGTATTATACAAAATTATACTTTTAAGTAGAAACTATAAGAGACCGCCGCCTAGTTGTTAAGGCAAAGTTACTCAGAATCATGACCTTGACAACATATGTCAAGGTCAAGGTCATCGGTGAGGTGTCCCCTAATGTGAATAATTACCCAATATTGTTGTCCTTAGATTAGCGCAAGAAATATTTGTATTTGTACAAAACATATATAGTCTCCTTCACAACCATCATTCTTATTATTATGATCGGAATATATCGGAGTACTTAAAATAATTTTCAAAAATTCTTAATCAAAATAAATA